TGTTGGTAGCGTGTGTGTTGGTAGTGTGTGGTGGTAGTGTGTGTTGGTAGTGTGTGTGTTGGTAGTGTGTGTGTTGGTAGTGTGTGTGAAGGTAGTGTGTGTGATGGTAGTGTGTGTGATGGTAGTGTGTGTGATGGTAGTGTGTGTGATGGTAGTGTGTGTGATGGTAGTGTGTGTGTTGGTAGTGTGTGCGTTGGTAGTGTGTGCGTTGGTAGTGTGTGCGTTGGTAGTGTGTGTTGTTGGTAGTGTGTGTGTTGGTAGTGTGTGTGTTGGTAGCGTGTGTGTTTGTAGCGTGTGTGTTTGTAGCGTGTGTGTTTGGTAGTGTGTGTTGATAGTGTGTGTGTTGGTAGTGTGTGTGTGTTGGTAGTGTGTGTTGGTAGTGTGTGTGTTGTAGCGTGTGTGATGGTAGTGTGTGTGGATGGTAGTGTGTGTGATGGTAGTGTGTGTGATGGTAGTGTGTTTTGATGGTAGTGTGTGTGTTGGTAGTGTGTGTGTTGGTAGTGTGTGTGCTGGTAGTGTGTGTGTTGGCAGTGTGTGTGTTGGTAGTGTGTGTGTTGGCAGTGTGTGTGTTGGTAGTGTGTGTGCTGGTAGTGTGTGTGTTGGCAGTGTGTGTGTTGGTTAGTGTGTGTGTTGGCAGTGTGTGTGTTGGTAGTGTGTGTGCTGGTAGTGTGTGTGTTGGTAGTGTGTGTGCTGGTAGTGTTGTCATATGAAGACGCACATATTAAATATGTCAGCCTGGGTATCCTGGACATCTAGATCGCCAATTCTTTGTTCCATCTTCCTCTAATCGTCCAGTTTGTTCTCGAGAATTGCGTCAATGGCATCAATTGCAAGAGTTGCTAAAAGCAGAGCTCAATTCTTGGGGGCAATGACTGACACCCTGTGGTGTGAATCTCACTGCATCAATCACTTGTTAATTGGCTAAGATGATTTCGTAGTTCGATGAATTAAGAATGAGTCTCATGTCTTGTCCCCGTGTCGTTACATGAGCAAGCTCTGCTAGGACTCCTCTGTGCATGCCAATGCGCCATCAAGGAACCAGAAGTTTAGTCCACTCGTCTATCTAATAATGATTTTCCTAATTGCTGTGCAGGACAGATATGGGGCGGGAGGGATCCCGTTGCTCAACACCCTTTGACGAAGATTTCATGCTTCGAAAACAAGAGCATCGGTTCCTTGCTGTATCCGGCTGAAAAAAACAACCAGTGTGAAAATTCAGACCTATAAATTCAGTCCCTGCATAGGCAGAGACTCATAAAAGCCTTGGTCCACTGTCCAATGATCCGTGTGAACTAAGGGACTGTGTGACTGACTGCCCGGGTAAGGAATGGGTAGCACTAGCTTCGATGAATGTTTGTGTATATCATTATTTTCGTGTGCTATATGGGCTTTGGGGTCTCTCAATGCAGTGAAACCGCAGCTCATTCGGCAAGGGCCTACATCAAGGACTTACCAGAAGACAAGGCCGTAGCTAAACTTGACTTCAGAAATGTCTTTAATATGGTGAAAAGAGATTTAGTCCTGCCAGCCGTTCGGGATCCGTTCCCCAGCTTTTTTCCCTTCATTTCGGCTCGCTACAGCAAACTCTCAATTCCTTTGTTTGGCAAACATGAAATTCCCTCATCAGAGGGTGTTCAGCAGGGTGATCCACTCGCTCCACTTCTCTTCTGCTTGGCAGTAAGAGAACTAACTTTCAGCCTACGCAGCGAGCTTAACATCTGGTAACTGAATGATGGCACTCTGGCAGGTACTGAAGAGTCCCTACTAGAGGACCTACAACTGGTGAAGACACAGGGAGAAGCCTTGGGACTCATCCTCAAGCCCTCCAAGTGTGAAATCATCATAATGAATCAGGAAATAATCAGAGCTGTGCGAACAATCCTCCCTGAAGTCTCTACTACTACTACATCCAACAGCACCCTCTTGGGAGCACCGCTGGGTCACCAGGCCATCGACACTGTCCTCAAGGACAAACTGAATGACCTGAAGAGAATGGAGGAGAGAATAAGCGATCTTGATGCCCATGATGCCCTGTATCTCCTCACAAGGTGTCTTACTCTGCCAAGACTCACTTCCCGGGGCGCACACCCTTTTTCGACAACCCTACACTTAGCGAATATGACTTACTCCTGAGATCTATCTTTAAAAAGACACTGAATCTGTCACTGGAAGATCAGCAATGGGATCAAGTAACTTTTCCAGTGCAATTGGGAGGTATAGGGGTGCGCAAGGCAACGCAGGTAACTTTACCTGCATTTCTGTCCTCGTGCATGGCTTAATTATCAACACAATGCTCAACAACGCTTCGGGAAAGGATAAAAGCTCGTCTCCTAGCGATGAAGGCGCCACATTCAGATTTCCGTTTAGTTGTTCCCAACTCCTCCCTGGGCAACCAACTCGACCCACAGGCCATTCAGATTGGTGTTGCTCTTCGCCTAGCCGCTCCCACACTCACTGAACATAGGTTTATTTGCGGCAGGGCGTCGGCTGGTCAATTTGGACTTCATGGTCTCGTGTGTCATACATCAGAAGGGAAGTATGCTAGATATGAGGAGCTCAACGACATCATAAAGAGAAGTCTCGCCACAGCCCGTTGCCCAGCTCAACAGGAACGCCAAGTGCAGAGGTCTGACGGAAGTCAAAAGCGTCCAGATGGAGTCACTATACTACCCTGGAAGGATGATAAGCAGATTGCCTGGGACTACACCTGTGCTGCCACGTTGGCGGACACCTACTTGCCATACTCTGAAGTTGAAGAGGGTGGAGCCGTCAGTTACAGGGAGACCCAGAAGATCCGCAAATATGACGGCTTGCCCAGTTGCTGTAACTTCATCCCAGTAGGGTCGGAGACCCTTGGAGCATGAGGCAAGTGTGCTCTAGATTTCCTCAAAGAGCTGGGAGAAAAACTCATCACACAAACCAAGGATCACAGAGCGGCGAGCTTCCTCTTTCAGAGACTCACTGTTGCGATCCAAAGGGGAAACGCCTGCAGCATTCTGGACACGCGGCTGACTGCGGGGAGCTGGATGAAGTGTTTGAGATGTAGGCTCTGACATGTCATGTATGTTGTTCTACTTACCATTGTATTTTTGTTTATGTATGTCGTCTTTAAATAAAGTATTTTATATATATATATTATATATATTATATATATATATATATATATATATATATATATATATATATATAATATATATATATGCATCCACAGAACAAAGTGGTTTAAAGCATATATAGTACTGCGACTGACAGGGGATCGAACCGTTGACATTTACCCAGTCTCCCGGGGCACTAGATAAATTTCTCGACGAGGGAATTCAAGTAAATTCCATTGGAGAATGGTTAAAGCAGAACTTGAAGCCTTTTGATACTAAAATGGAATCATGCTGTGTGGAGGAAGGGAGAGTCAAGCCAAACCTTGACTCACACCGGCTAGGAAAAAAACAAACTAAAAACCTTAGAGATTTTTTGAAGAAAAACTATTCGGAAATAAAAAAAGATGAAAAATTGATTCTTTTTTTTTAGGTGAGAGGAAGTGGAGTAGTATAGTATTATATTGAAAAGAAACATATTTCAGGGGATGAGCTAAACTGAGAGGTGAGTGCGACCTTGACGTCAGTTAGCACATAATTCAGAACTTTTAAACCCATCTAGAATAGTTGGTCTAGCTAAATTCACACTAAGGTAAATATTTTCAGTGTTTTCAGTCTTCCTGTTTCTCAGATTTTGTAGCCATTTCGTGGCACGACTTTCCAGTTTCCCTCTTTTATGCTACGAACTTCGTACTACACCTGCATACTATAATGTACATTAAACGTACGTTTTGGTGATTTCCAAATTCTGTTGAGGTTTTCCGGTAGTTTTGTCGTTTCTTATTACTATTTTTATGCAGTAATAATTGCCACTAAAAGCTTTTATGTAGTTTATATTTTCAAAATTAAGTTACGCAATCACAAGTCATTAAAACTTGATATTAATGTCTGAAATTTCCATTACACGTTTCTTATCAGTTTCACGTTTCGTCGTTTCATCCATATTTGTCGAGTTGAAAAAGTTCTCAAGCTGAGCGAAACGATTATTACAAACTAAAAATAAATGAATATTTTTTTTTCCGCTGCTCAATCCAGAGAAATATTCTGCTCCTTAAAAACCTTCGTTCATTTTTTTTTAAGATTGATCGTGTGGGGAATGTTGACCCAAAATTATGGATGTGGAAAATATATACATAATTTTTCAGTATTAGGAATATTTGCTTTCCAGCTACGAGGTGGGCATGGCACCCGGGCATGGAGGTGGGTATAGCACCCAGGCATGGAGGTGGGCATGGCACCCAGGCACATGGAGGTGGGCATGGCACCCAGGCACATGGAGGTGGGCATGGCACCCAGGCATGGAGGTGGGTATGGCACCCAGGCATGGAGGTGGGCATGGCACCCAGGCACATGGAGGTGGGCATGGCACCCAGGCACATGGAGGTGAGCATGGCACCCAGGCATGGAGGTGGGCATGGGACCCACGAACATGGAGAACACAGAACCCAGCCATATAGATCGCAATGGTCATTTTCCATCTCTTGCAGCTAAAAGATGCTTGCGGGGGTCAGCTACCCTGTGACCCGGTGCCAGATCACTAGGCCTTTCAGTGGATCATGGCCTGGACACTCAGGCTGTTACTGATGGCTTCACGCAGTCTATAGTCCAGTTGATAACGAGCTGATTTGATTAACTTCTCCAGTTATATCTTGAAGACAGCCTGATGTTTGTTGGTTAAAGATGCTAGATCAACCAGGCTGTGATGGATGAATGTGTGTGTGTGTCAGAGGGCAGCCAGCAGAAACAGCCTGGTTGGCCAGGCAAGCACCAGAGGAGCCAACGTAGGTATATCAAAGTTATATAACTCCCCTTCTCGCGGACATACAACACGTAAAATAAAAAAAATCACTGAAACAAACAGTATTTTCTTCTGCAGGAACTTAAATAAAACAAGAAGACAATACTCACGAAGAAAATGAAGTTGAAGAAGCACAGCAGGTATTTGGCGAATGCTGTGCCACAGTCCAGCGCCATCTTGCTGTGAAGAATGAAAAGAAACATATTAATATTTTGATCAGAATTGCTGGCGAGGGGGAAGTTTCCTCAGACAAAGTAGAGTAAATGGTTCTGAGTTTTCTGAGTTCCCACACCCATTTCTAGGCGAGTTTTGATGAAGTGGTGGGAGGGGGGGAGGGGGAAGAGTTGCGAATTCCCACGCCCATCTCTTGACGAGTTTTGAAGTGAGGGGAGTTGAGAGTTCCCAAACCCGCCTCCTGATATTGTGGGTGGGTGGGAAAGAGTTCCCACACCCACCCACCCGATTTTTGCTTTGGTTTTCTCTGTTCTCTTCACTACTGTGTCCAACATGAGTACTGACACCAAGTTGTTCTCTTTATATTCGGGACGAACTCTCCTGTTGTTCCGTAGAAGGATATGGATTACTATCAACATTGATGAATGAGACACTTGTGCAACATTTGGGATTTTTTTACTGACAAAACGTTTCGCCAGCCAATGACTTCTTCAGTCCAATGCAAAGAAGAACGATGGAAAAAAGAGGAGTTTGAGGTAATCAATCCCTCAGCCTGGAGTCGATGTGTCCAGTTCATCAATCTTCAAGACTGATGGACTGAACAAATCAATTCCAGCCTGAGGGACTGATTACCTTAAGCTCCTCCTCTTTCTCCACCGTTCTCCATTGTATTGGACTGAAGAAGCCACTGGCTGGAGAAACGTTTCCGCAATAGACATTCCCAAATGTTGCACAAGTATCTCATTCTTCAACATGTCGGTTATCTAAGCCATTATCACTGCCAATATTACCTCAGGTCTTCCAGACACTGGTGATGCTGCTGTATTTTCCCTGATGCCAAGTTTACAACTGAACCAAATCTTTAATACTTTTAATAACAATACCATCACCGAATCAGTGACTCACGAAATGGTAATAACACGAGACAAACCATCATCAACAAACCTCCTTCGAGGGGATTCTGACTTTTATTCTTCACTGTTTTCTTTTTACCCTTGCATTGTCTAAGTAATGACTACAATGTTTGCTATTTTCTCTATTATTTTTCTTTGTTTTCTGTTCTGAAAGAGTTATTCATACGTGCACCAGGTATAGAATCGTATATCCCCCTACTGCCTGCCATGCTTCATGCTTTCATCCTGATGTATATTGGGGGCACTAGGCGATGATCTCTTTTTTTTTGTTTTGGGTTAGGGAGGAGAGTTGAGGTGATGGATTGAGGATGGTTGGAGGCAAGAACGGTATAGTGGTGAGGGAGCTTCGAGTGTGAAGGAAGATAGGGAAGTTTTTGTAAGTTTTTGAGCTCGAGATAGTGGGAGGTGTGAGTTGTAGGCATGTGCAAGAAACTTGAACGAAAGGTAACATTAGTGGATTGTCGTAAGGTAGTAAGGAGGATATACTGTAGAGATGGTGAAGGGAGTATAGTGTAGATGAGTGGTTATGGAAAAGATAAGGTGAAGTAGCAAGATTGGAAGAGGGTTGGTACGGTTAGAGCTCACTGGGTAGCAGTGGCGTAACTAGTATTTAAATATGGTGTCACCAGTCTGATACTTGTGTTACTATACAAGTATCAGACTGGTGACACCATATTGAAATACTAGTAGCTACTGCTATATACTGTGGTAACCCCATTTACAGGCAGGCTCAATGGCCAAGCATTAAGTCACGTGACTCCCGTTTGAACCACGCACCTAAGCTGGAGCCTTCTCTCTCACTCTCTCGACCAGGCCTAGGGAACAGGCAGACGTGCACAGGCTGGGCTCGCCACTAATACAAATACAACGCCTCCAATAACAGTTCATCGGTTGTATTTTTCTGCAATCACTTCTCCAATCGTGAGCCCCGTCAATGGGGAAAGGGCAGCAAAGATAAACTTTCAATCTTCGGGGGAGAGGCTTAAAAATCATAAGATGAAAATTAAAAAAAATGTATTGGGGCATTAGCTACATTAGAGCCAGTTTTCCCTGTGGCTGCGCCACTGATGGGAAGGGAGAAGAGGTTGATAATGAAGAGTGAGTAATGATGATGGTTGGTACCTGGAGCTGGGAAGGGGAGAATGACGATGATGGTAGTGGATATAAAGGATTGGTGGAAGCGGGTGTGGACAGGTGAGGAGGGGTTGGACGAGAGGGAGAGATAAAGGTGACGGAGTGAGTCAAGGTAGCTTGCGGCAGAGTAGTTCCAGGGAGGGGATGAATACATAGCAATTACATAGAATGAATGGGAAGGTGGGTATGAGGTGGGACCTGGTACACAGGAAGGAGGTAGTGCAGTGTGTGTTTGCCTGTTTATTGCTTCTATTTACTCTTTAGATGAATCTGGACAGTTGAAGTAAGGTGACTTAAACCACGAAACGGGTGGGGTGTGAATCCAAGGCAAGCTAGTTCTAAAACTCCAGACCAGTGCGTTAGATGACTTGCTCGTACACCTCTCTCTGCTCGGGATCGAACCCGGTACTTTTTGGCTGTGACCCGAAAACTCTCAGATCCCATCTGCCTCAAGCTAACGTGACCAACGAAAACTATGCCAGTTTTTGAAACAATACCTGGCACTGACCTCTGCCACTCGCATATCCAGTTCATTCCACCCCATTATTACCTGGAGGACGAAGCAAAGTGCTTACTAGCGTCTCTAATTCATCTGCGATTTAAATCTCCTTTACCCACTGTTCCCATTAATGGCATTTCAGGTAATTTGTTCCTCTCTTATTTATTCATCCTAGAATTTTTAATTTCATGTTCTCCTCTATAAAATCTCCAAGATTAGTGCTTTTAGTATCTTCTTAAAGTGCACATCCCTCAGCCCTAGAAGCAACCAGGTTGAAAGTCTTCAGAAATTTTAAGTGCCTGAGTAAATCTGAACCAGTAGCTGCGCCACGCTTATACTCAAGAATGGAGCTGAGATACATTGTGTATACAGTGCTGAATAATTCTGTATTAACGTTTCTATGGTGTATTTTGAAAGAGTTACTGTACGATCCTCACCTAATGTTGTCAGGTACAGTTCCTTAAATGTCTCGTCTGTTCTCACCATTTCTGTCACTGCTCTCGCTGTGAATCTTCGATTCTTATCCAGTTTTATATACTTCATCAGGGGTAGATTTTTTGCTAAGATTCCAGAGAGAAGTTCTTTGGTTAGCTACTTTTGCACATGCCGTTCAAAACAAGTAATAAGATCAATATGTATTTATAGTGACATATTTAATGCTATGTGTGTGTGTGTGTGTGTGTGTGTGTGTGTGTGTGTGTGTGTGTGTGTGTGTGTGTGTGTGTGTGTGTGTGTACGTGTACATGCATGCGTGGGGTGTGATCGCGTGCGTGTAAGTTTTAGCATCACATTAAAGCACATAGCTTGACAGCTTCACACCTCGCTAATCGTCATGCCAAAGCCAACAGCAACATCCTGGGGACGACGCGGCTCCTGCCCCACCTTCCCCAGAACTTCCAATCGTGTTAAAAGCGGAGTTCTCAGTCTACCCCAAACATCACCTGACGCTCACACAAATAGAGATAAATTAATGCAGAGAAAAGCGAGAAAGAAAAATATAAAATATACGCTTAGAAGGAAACGCACGCGCGAGCGCGCACACGCGCACACACACACACACACACACACACACACACACACACACACACACACACACACACACACACAAACACACACACAAACACACACACACACACACACACAGATAAATCACAGGGATGTTAGGAAGTATTTCTTCAGCCATAGAGAAGTCAGTAAGCGGAATAGTTTGGGAAGCGATGTAGTGGAGGCAGGATCCCTACATAGCTTTAAACAGAGGTATGATAAAGCTCACGGTTCAGGGAGAGTGACCTAGTAGCGACCAGTGAAGAGGCTGGGCCAGGAGATAGAACTCAACCCCTGCAACCTCAACTAGGTGAGTACAACTAGGTGAGTACACACACACATACACACACATCAGGTAGGACTTCAAAGAGACCTGGACAGGCTGGGCACCTGGTCCAGCAACTGGCTTCTCGAAATTAACCCCGCCAAATGCAAAGTCATGAGGATCGAGGAAGGGCAAAGAAGACCGCATACGGAGTTTAGGCTAGGTGGCCAGAGACTGCAAACCTCGCTCATGGAGAAAGATCTTGGGGTGAGTATAACACCGAGCATGTCTCCGGAAGCACACATCAACCAGATAACTGCTGCAGCTTATGGGCGCCTGGCAAACCTGAGAATAGCGTTCCGATACCTTAGTAAGGAATCGTTAAAGACACTGTACACTGTGTACGTCAGGCCCATACTGGAGTATGCAGCACCAGTTTGGAATCCACACCTGATCAAGCACGTCAAGAAATTAGATAAAGTGCAAAAGTTTGCGACAAGGTCAGTTCCAGAGCTAAGGGGAATGTCCTACGAAGAAAGGTTAAGGGAAATCGGTCTGACGACCCTGGAGGACAGGAGGGTCAGGGAAGACATGATAACGACATACAAAATACTGCGTGGAATAGACAAGGTGGACAGAGACAGGATGTTCCAGAGAGGGGACACAGAAACAAGGAGTCATAATTGGAAGTTGAAGACCCAGATGAGTCAAAGGGATGTTAGGAAGTATTTCTTCAGTCATAGAGTAGTCAGGAAGTGGAATAGCCTAGCAAGTGAAGTAGTGGAGGCAGGAACCATACATAGTTTTAAGACGAGGTATGATAAAGCTCATGGAGCAGGGGAGAGAGGACCTAGTAGCGGTCGGTGAAGAGGCGGGGCCAGGAGCTGAGTCTCGAGCCCTGCAACCACAATTAGGTGAGTACACACACACACACACAACCACAAGGGTCGTTAATGACCTACGAGAGGAAATTAAATCCTATATATCTCCGTTTGCGAATGATGTGTAATCAGTGAAGTAATGAGAAAAAGTATAATTTAAGGAGGCAGAGAATATACGGAAACTAACTAACAGGCTACTGATGTGGTCAGGAAAGTGGCTGCTCGAATTCATTCCTGATAAACGAAATATAGGAAAAACAGGAGTAGCG